ACACACACACACGACACGCGCGCGCGCTCAGACGCAGAGAGAACGGAGTAGAACGAAGAAGGATCGGGAAAAAATCGATAAGTGATGATAATTCAGTCGCTGGACAGATGGCGAGCCTGGTCAAAACAATAAGAGCTGTTATTTAACAAGTTTTTATTTCTCATGGTATGCCATGTTCCCTTTTGGGTGCTGAAAGTGCTTTATACATAAATAAATATGTCATTAATATTTCAAAAAGTGTGATATTATGATCATGTGACATTCGGATAAATATATAGTAAGCATATAATGTATAATTAGTGGTTTGACTAGGATTGCGTTGTCTCATCATAATTATGGAATTAAAACATTTTAGGCAGGTGGATGGTAGGCTAAAAAATCACGTAACGAATTGTAATAAATGATAAATGTAAAATATTATTCAGTGTGATATGAATGCATCTCGGTTTGTGTCAGTTTATTTCACAGATCAGCTCTCTACATTTTGGCAAAACTCTTATAAGTGTTTGGAATAGGGGCCTATTTATATCTGCAATCATCTCTGCAATGCACCGTCATAAACAACGATGAAATGTATATTTTGGCAGGAGCACGTGAATACTGACAGCTGCAGATGAAGCTTGTCGGAATTAAAACAAGCTCGCACCGACATCTAGTGGACAGACGCCGTCAATTTCTCAAGGTCTACAGAGAACAGGGAATCATGTCTGATTTAAGCATATTGAAGTTAGTGAGATTGATCCACTGGATCCACAAACTTTGTAAACAACTTACTCTGCCCTAAATCACTGAATTGTCCCTTTAGTTTTGTCCTCTAAAGTGACATTTTAGTTCTTGTCTCTGTGATTATGCTGTTGTTGTTTAAAGTACTGAAGTCTCAAGTTACACGGCTACAGTCAAATCAGTTTCTGAATTCAGTCAAACCAATAAATTATAAATAAATTAATTTTAACATCGCAAAACTATATTAACATATTTTAATGATATTATTATTATTATTAAAAATATCACTGAAATCTCACATGTGATTATATACAAATTAAAAAATGGAGACAATATATATTTGTAGGTTTTAGTTTTTTAATTGTTGTGGGTTCCATATATTAAAATCATAATTAATAATTACAGTGATGTTTGAGGATTAAACTTACCCTAGTTTCCACCAAAAATGACACTATAATAAATAATAATATTGCAAATAGCAAACTTATCAAAACGGTATTATATCAAAATTAATGTGTTAACAAAAACACATTAAAAATAAAACAATAAATATGAGAACATGTGATAGACTAAAAGTATAGGCCCTATTTATAAATGGCAGATTGCTTTACTGCAGCAACAAACGCAGGTGAACAGCTATCCACTTTAATTACGACAGTGATATATTTACCACAGTGATTTCCACTCACTTAACTGTAGGAGGCTCCAAAGTCGCAAAAAATCCTAAAGACTTTGATTAGTTCGATTAATAGGTTTAAACAGGGCTGCGTTCAGCCTCGACAAAACGTTGTAATTATCAAGTGCTCCTTCAGATCCTAATTAGTTGGTTCAGTTGTGTTTGATCAGGGTTGGAGCTGAACTCTGCAGGAAGGTAGATTTCCAGGAACAGGGTTGGGCACCCCTGATATACATGTTGCTGCTGATTGGGCTGACATTTTTGACACACCCACCAAACAAGAGAAAACGTAACTCAAACCCCGTTGCACACGTTTCCATGAAACATGTCTTCAACCCTGAAACCCGTAGCCAAATGTTGCTCACCGGTTTGAGCTTGAACGTGCCCTTGGTTTAGTTAGGGTTGGAGCCAGCTTTATAGAAGCTCTGAGTTTGGCACTCCAGAATGTAAAATAAAAGTTGATGCACTAGGTTTAAATATGTTATTTCTTGTTTGTTTCTGCCAAAATATCAGGAAGCATTTTGAATTTTTCGTTGTTTTTAACTCATATTGACGGGGTAGAGAGAGGTGACAAATATTAATGTAAGAGTGGGCGTGGTCATTTGTAACTTGAATGTGCCAGGCTTCCGGTGTCATTCGCGTCCAGTTATTTTACCTGTGTTAAATAAGAAGTCTGTTGGCTGATATTGTAAACTGGAATTTGTTGTCATATTATTTGATTATAATAATCATAAACACTGTTTTGTTTTGTTTTAGCTCAAATAGTTTTACTGTTTACTGCATTTTGTTATTCTTCTAGTTATTTATAGCGGCAAATGAACCGGAAGTTTCGCACATTCACAAATATGGTGGATGTTTATTGCTTACAGCTGTTGATGTCATTTTCAGTTTTGAATGCAAACCAATAGTGTTTCATAGTTGGGCTTTTTGTAGCAGAAAACAATGCACAGTAATGTTTTATTTTCATTAGGCCTAAATTTATTAAATTAATAAACATATTAATAACCAACAGTGCCAAAAGCCTATTACGTTTTGCGCTGGAATAGTTTGTTCATATTTTGTTTCAGAAATGTCATCAAGAAACAAATATTTTTTTATAGCTACAACACCATTTCCAGGAAAAGTTGGGGGAAACCGTTTTTTTGCTAATCTAGAATGTGTGATTTGTTAACTCGCTTTATTTAACAGACAAATGTTCAAAGAAAAGCTCTCCTGACCAACTCTGTTTTGTAATTTGTAAATGTAAACAAATCTCACTTGATACAAGATTTGACCCGCTCAGCAGTCTGCGGTCGTCTTATTCTCTTCTTCCTTACGTGCCATACATTTTCAATAGGAGACATGATCTGGACTGTTCAGTTCACCTGCTTATTGTGGAATGTTTCAAAACAATTTAACATGGATATTCAAATTTTTCACTAGGCTATTATTTTGCATTGTTTGTTTATTCATTTATTTATCTGAGTATGCTGAATCCAGCCAAATTGGTTTATATTTACAAAACTATTAAATTGGTCATTGAGAACACTGTACATCTTTTCTAGTTTAAACTGTTTGCTTAAATGGTGCTTAATTTGCTTAAATAATGGTTTAAACTGCTTCTTGAAACGAGTCAGTAATGAACATAAAAGGATAGTAGTACAAACAGGCACTTTGTTTTTCCAAGTTCTTCCACAGTGAAAACCTGGGCTGTTTTAATATATCCAGCCAAATTGGTTTATATTTACAAAACTATTAAATTGGTCATTGAGAACACTGTACATCTTTTCTAGTTTAAACTGTTTGCTTAAATGGTGCTTAATTTGCTTAAATAATGGTTTAAACTGCTTCTTGAAACGAGTCAGTAATGAACATAAAAGGATAGTAGTACAAACATACACTTTGTTTTTCCAAGTTCTTCCACAGTGAAAACCTGGGCTGTTTTAATATAAACATGTTTATAAAACATGTAAACATTCATTTATAATATTTCAGAAGACCACTCATGCCACTGTGTGCATCCTCTCACACAGCATGAATCCAATCCACAAATACTAAGAGCTCCTACAAATGTATGCATTATAAATCCACAATATGTTTATATTGTATGCTTATACAATACAATTCACAAACACATAAAGGTTATTTTGTATCTGTAATTTAATGCATAAATGTGCATACTTCAAAAACATACATTCCAACTGACATTTGCACAACAGACCATACAACTTGTATTTTTGTCTTTTGCGTGCAGATTTATTTAACAAGATAACATAAATGTTGAAAAATTATTAGATCTACAATATTTAAATGACTTACAAGAAACATCATGAATGTTCTCCCTAACAATACACATTTACATGTTCATATTTGCATTGCAAAAGTTTTAACGAACATGGACAATGTGAGTTTAAACGTGATACGGAACATTTCCTTGAGTCTGGGAGCTTTTTCATCCAAAATGAATAGATAAGCTTGTTAATATAAGTTTTTTAATTGGTTTGACTGCAGCATGACTGACTTACATACAGGGTGCAACAGGGCTGAAAATAATTAATTATAGAAAAAGAAATTGCCATATACAGTATCATCTGTATTTCTTCTTACCCGTGTTTAGTACCGGTTTCTATAGTTACTCATTGATTCTTTGTTTAGTCTCATCTGTTCCTTGTTTCCTCGCTCAGTTAGTATTTATGTTGCTGTGTTTGGTTCAGTTCTTTGTCAGTTCTTCTTGTTATAAGGTTTGGCTTGCTGCACTCCTGTGTTCCAGTGTGGGTTTTGTTTTCATTTAATAAAACTGTGTAGCAAATACTCCCCGAATGTGACAGAAGAACAGACATAAAAACGTGGATCTAGCAGTGGTTCAAACCTCCTCGAGGATCACACGAGTGACTTTTAAGATCTGGTGGTAATGTCACATATCATCCGTGTATTTCTGGTGCTGGATTCACAAAATCTGCTGTTATGTTTGCAGTCAAGGAAGATATAATGAGACTAATGTAGACGTCAAACTTTACTTAAATCAATATAGGAGATCTTATCAAATATTTAGGAGCGTAAGAAACAGGAAAGACCAGTGTGTGCGGGTGAAGATCATGCTAATGAACTGCATCTATTGTAATCCTTTAACGTTTAGCTCATTGTTACAATGCCATGTATTTAAGTGAAAAGGTCATAGAAACTAATATTGACCTGGTTTTTCAATAACATTCCATACTCACCAACGAAATGTAGGTAATACCTAAATAATTTAACAAAGTATGTATGATTTTCTTCTGCAGAACATAAAAAGATTCTTTAAAGAATAATGGGGCCCAAACAACATTGAACCCATGGCTTTCAGTTTATGGACAAACTCACTTTAAGATTTGGTGAGATGGTTGGTTTAATCCGTAAACCTCCCTGTATAATTAACTGGCAAGTAAATGATGTAAGCTAAAGTTTCATTTTCTAGTAATGTCTACTTTAACCTTTCATTTTCTCATAAAGACCCTCCCCTTTGAAAAGCTATAAAATGAGCACTGAAACAGGCACGTCAATTCATTCACCTCCTGCTCAAAGATGGATCTGCAAATCTCAGTTTTTCTTCTGTTCGTCCTTTTCACTGCAGGTACAAAGACAAATAGTGTTTATAATGTTATTGAGTGCAAATACAGATAATAGAGTTTCTCTCTCACTGTCTCTCTCTCTCTGTAATCTTACTAAAGGACACTCTCTCAGCTGTTATGAGTGCACGGGTCTGACGGGTTCTTGTGCGAATCAAAATGTAAAAACATGTCCCAATGGATTTTCCAAGTGCATGAGTACAAAAACAGCGGTAAAAGTTGGTAAGTCCAAAATGATGGATTGAAATTCTCTGATAACTGATAAAGATGCTGGTGTTTTTACTGGTGCTGCTTCACTGGAAATGTAACTTCTCACAGAACTGCTGATTTCCTCACAGAAATTGTGATTGTAATCACAGAATATTCTATTTATATTTCTGTTTCTCTCAGTTTTTTATACAATTAGTATTCAGATTGATTGAATCAAATTGAATCAAATGAGAAAATGCTACATTTTAATGTTTATAAATATATTTTCTTTCAAAATAATGTGTTGAACTGGTCTTTCCTGAACCATTCATGTTTTAGGTGACATCGGTGCTAAAGTGCAGCTTAAAGACTGTGCTGCTGACTGTGTAAGTGGATTCATGAACATCGGCATTGCAAAGACATCTTTAGCGTGCTGTAACACAGACCGGTGTAACGTCCAAGACGCTCCAGGTATCATGCTTTACTGACCATATGCAAAAAAAATGTATCTTTAAGGTCAACACTCATTTTACTTCCAAAGGAGATCAGGAAATACAAATTATACCATATAGAGTGCAGCTTGCCAGTTGTGAATTGATTGATTGGAGCAGCTAACAGAGTGTTATTTCATTACATGCTATATTTTGCACAGAAGATAAAACAATGCATGTTTTCCTCCTGTAGATCCCAGCACTAGCGCCCCCAATGGAAAGACTTGTTACTATTGTGATGAGAAGAGCTGCTCAAACATTTTGAGCTGTTCAGGGAGTGAAGACCGCTGCTTTAAAGCAACAGGTGAGAATCTGGAAAAGAAAAAAAGTCATTATTTTTATCTCTCTGATGTTTGAGATCACATACAGATCACATTTACCAGTTTCCAACTTAGACTAACCTCTCTTTTCTTTCTTTTCATCAGGGACTATCGGTGGCCAGTCAACAGTTGTAAAAGGCTGTGTCTCTAAATCTATCTGTGATGCTGAAACTTCGGTTAGAGATGTTCAGGGAGCCTCATGCTGTGAGGGGAATCTGTGTAACAGCGCTAAGAGCATCACTCAGAGCTTCCTGTTCCTCTGCTGTTCTCTGCTCTCCTTCATCCTGCTGCTGCACTGAATCCAGCAGCTCTTCACGTTCTACACTGAGACACACTGTACTGAATATAGAGCTTGTACTTTCTCTGTACTGTTTTCCTCACAGAAATTGTGATTGTAATCACAGAATATTCTATTTATATTTCTGTTTCTCTCAGTTTTTTATACAATTAGTATTCAGATTGATTGAATCAAATTGAATCAAATGAGAAAATGCTACATTTTAATGTTTATAAATATATTTTCTTTCAAAATAATGTGTTGAACTGGTCTTTCCTGAACCATTCATGTTTTAGGTGACATCGGTGCTAAAGTGCAGCTTAAAGACTGTGCTGCTGACTGTGTAAGTGGATTCATGAACATCGGCATTGCAAAGACATCTTTAGCGTGCTGTAACACAGACCGGTGTAACGTCCAAGACGCTCCAGGTATCATGCTTTACTGACCATATGCAAAAAAAATGTATCTTTAAGGTCAACACTCATTTTACTTCCAAAGGAGATCAGGAAATACAAATTATACCATATAGAGTGCAGCTTGCCAGTTGTGAATTGATTGATTGGAGCAGCTAACAGAGTGTTATTTCATTACATGCTATATTTTGCACAGAAGATAAAACAATGCATGTTTTCCTCCTGTAGATCCCAGCACTAGCGCCCCCAATGGAAAGACTTGTTACTATTGTGATGAGAAGAGCTGCTCAAACATTTTGAGCTGTTCAGGGAGTGAAGACCGCTGCTTTAAAGCAACAGGTGAGAATCTGGAAAAGAAAAAAAGTCATTATTTTTATCTCTCTGATGTTTGAGATCACATACAGATCACATTTACCAGTTTCCAACTTAGACTAACCTCTCTTTTCTTTCTTTTCATCAGGGACTATCGGTGGCCAGTCAACAGTTGTAAAAGGCTGTGTCTCTAAATCTATCTGTGATGCTGAAACTTCGGTTAGAGATGTTCAGGGAGCCTCATGTTGTGAGGGGAATCTGTGTAACAGCGCTAAGAGCATCACTCAGAGCTTCCTGTTCCTCTGCAGTTCTCTGCTCTCCTTCATCCTGCTGCTGCACTGAATCCAGCAGCTCTTCACGTTCTACACTGAGACACACTGTACTGAATATAGAGCTTGTACTTTCTCTGTACTGTGCATCTTTGGTGTGTTTCTATGATTTTTTTGCCGTGACATTTTATGAATTAAAACACTACAATTAAAACAGTCCGTCATGCTGTAAAAAGGTAATAAATAATTACTACAAAAATGTTTTTTTATTGTTTTAATTCTTAAAATAAAAAATGTAATTATCATTATGTTCAGAATAAGCATATGTGATAATTATTTAATTATTCAAACAAGACAAACTCTTTAGTTTTCCTGAGGTTTGTTTATATAACAATATCTGCATTCCCACTAAAAGGAATCCTGTTCAATTACAGATCATGAAGGCAATAAGGAAAAAAATTTGATATATAGGCCTATGTTGAGAAGTAATATTTTGCAAATACATTTGTCAATATTTTTCACTCAGTATATTTTATGTAGCTGCCCCCTAATTAGTCAAGGAGAAGAGTCGACAAAAATTTTATTAGTCGGTTAGTCAATTATCAATAAATCGTTGTGTTTCGGAAAACAAAGAAGACATGCGCTTTCTGCCGTCTCGGTCTCCATGAACTGGAGCGGGTCCCAAAAATGAACTGAAACTCAGCGTATAGACTTGCCTCACAGACATTAGAAATATCTCTATAGACAGCTTGAATATAAAAGTATAATTAAGAAATTTAAACATTTTAGGCAGGTGGGTGGTAAAAAATATCACACGGGGTATAGTAGTAAATGTTAAATGTAAAAAATAATTCAGAGTAGGCCTATGTAAATGCATAGGCTACCGCATTTTGGCAAAACTTTTATGGCTTAAATGTTTGGAAAATTAATGACAGCTACAGATAAAGCTTGTCTGATTAAAAAAAATAAAAAAAATGCTTCTTGTGGAAAGCCGGCTATAATGTTTCCAATGGCAGGCCTATACAGAGAACAAGGAGATCAATAAATGATTTAAGCATATAATAAATCATTATTTTTTTTACGTTACAGTTTTTGGTTTTATAATATAGGGCAATAGAATGACATTTTAATGTAATCTTTTGAGATTGTGGCATTTAGTTTGCTTTTACAATTGACCTTAGAACTTCCTTTTTCGCTTTAGCTATTATTTTCACAAGATCTTGTTTCTGTTTATGGCCAAGACACAAACATACCTGCTTTTCTTGCATCAGCTGCAGAATGTTTGAGCAGATGATCTGAAACTACTAATATTAGGGTTAAACACTATACTTTTTATAAGTCCATTGTCTATACAATCAAGTCTGTTTGACTCTTTCTTTGTCAGAGAAAAAAAAGATGAGCTGAATATGTAATCGAGCAATGATTCCTGATCAGGGGAAACTTAAACAGGTTTCAGTGTGTAATTGTATTTCTGTGGCTATCTCATAAATTTATTACATTTTTTCCTCAGAAAATGCATGATTGTCCCCAGCTCAAAAGAAAATGTTGATAATAATTGTAACAATGGCCACTTTAATAACACTAATAAAAAATGCTAAATGACATGCAGAATAATGTGAGTTTATAGAAGTTTATAGTGTAGCAAAATCTGTTTTATTGAATACAAAGTTGACTGCATCTTCATGGTGGCCAGCAATCAACACGACCATCACAAGAAAACAAACAGAGCCTGTATGACTTTGGCCTTTTAGCAGTGCATTGGAAATGAGTATTGTGGGTGACCAGCTTTGTTTATTAAGAACTCATAATGAAGTATGAACGTAAAACAGAATTTGACGAGATTTGCCTACAACGCACCCTCATGTCAGCAGCTGAAGTTTTCAGAATAAAATACAAGCTAGTAGCCCAATCTAGTGGACAGAATTATTGAAACACTCTCTACAGAGAACAGAGCTTAGCTTGACTTTTGTTTACCACCCGCCTTATTGACTGGTTTTAGCTTAAAAGTGAATAATTGTAATAATGACCTTTAATAATAACAATAACAATGATGTTATATTATATTGAGTATGAGTTCAACAAAACACATGAAAGGGAACTTGAACATTTTTTGATGGGACTGTCAGGATACACAGCACAAAAAAGGTGTGGAAACAGTGAATTTAAAGTTGAAATAAATGACTACCCACTTACCTTTTTCACTTACAAAAGTTCAACATCCACAGTACTTTTGAAAGCTTAAAATGTGATAGACTCCAATCAGTGGCGTAGCAAAAGCAGTTTTATTCTACAAATAACAGAGATCACATGACCATGAATCACACAGGAAACAAATAAGCCTGCTAATAAGAGGCATTTAACACTTTTGATATTATTTTCTTTTATTATAACTCTAACTTTTGGATTCAATATATTGTTAATCTTTTTATTATACTTGGCAAATTTTTTATTCACAAGTGTAAATTTTTGGGTAAGAACCCAGTACTGTCAATTTTCCTGGTTGACTATAATTCTTACGTTTTATCTTTGATGGGCATAAAAAACAAAAAATCATTCAAAAGTCAAAAATTGCTTTCAGTGTTTAACCTTGTATAATTTCCCCCCTCTGGTTTATGTTATTTATTTGTTTGTTCTTAGTTTTATTTATTCGTTTATTTATCTACTTATTTATTTTTTACTTTCTATCTTGTATTATTTTTTAGTATTTTGTCCTCTATTGTTTTTGAGGTTGTTGTGGTTACATGCTTGTTATTAAGTGTTTTGGCATTAATAAAAAATAAATAAAATAAGAGGCATTTGCTTGTGCATGACTCTACATTGATAAATGTCAGTATAAAGTCCAGAACACTGTAATCTTAAACAGAAAAATATTATTTAGTGTAATTGTAATGCTCAGAGAACGTGTTTAGACTTCATACTCAATAAATTGAATTCATGCATACATTCAATTTATTTTGACGCTGGTGGCAACATAAATACTATCTTCAACTCTAAGAAGCCGTTTTAGACCTTTTTGTTTTTACACCAGGCATTAATACTAGTTTTCGGTGAGACGACGATAAAATATAGTTGGTATAACACTATATTTGTTAAAGTATAGTTGCTATAACTGTATTATAATTGTAATTTTATCACCTGAAAGAAATGCACAATATAAAACGTAAAAACAGAGGTCAATTCAACTATTAACCATTCTGGCAAGAAACTCTTTCTTGGGAGCTGCTTGAAGATTTCCACCCTTTTTTCTGTTTTTTTTTTTTTAGGGTTGCTGAGATGCATAGCCTATGGTTGAAGATATTAGCGATGAAAATGGATGTATTGCATTTTATAAAAGAAAGAGAGTATAAAAACAGTTTATTTTTCTCATAAAATGCAAGATGATGGGTGAAATTGTGAGGGAGAGTGTGACTGTTTGCAATCCTTATCTTGTGCATGCCAGTACCTACAGCATTTGTAATCTGAAATTAGTAGCAAAAGAGTTCAGAGAGTATGGTATCAGGGTACTTGGGTGTTCTTATTTTACAGTGCAACTAAATAAATATTCCCTTAATTTAATTAAAACATGACAGTAGATGTGATTACATAAATAAAAATCAACTTTCTCCATAAAGAAATTGTGCAGATTAGCTGAATTCACCTAACCCCTGATGTTCTGGAGCTTGTTCATGTTGCTTTATATTTTCCAGAGAGTGGCTATTATATAGATACTAAAATATTGATACTGATAGATAGTATTGATACTAAAAGGCTACTTGCCATTTTGAGTCAAAACACTCCACACCCTTCACTAGATAGATAGATGCCAGTTAATATAGTATATCACATACTAATGCAATGTTGTATGAAACAAACCAGTACTTTAAAAAGAGGTTGTATAACTTTTATAAACCAAGTCAAAGCCTAGAAATCTTTAAAATCTTGGTCATTTTATGCTAAATATTAAATCATACACAAACATTTAAGATGTCAGGTCATCCTAGACTTCATAAGCTGAATTACAAAATAAAATAAAAGTTTTTGTATGTGTGTGTGCTGTGTATATTTATATAAATACAAACGCATACAGTATATATTTTGAAAATATTTACATGCAAATACATGTATATTTTTATTCATATAATTTCTATTATATATATAAATATTTAATATATAAACATAACATAATTCAAATGTGCAGTATGTTTGCTAGAGGAACACAAATGCAGCTCCAAATGTGCAGCCATGGAGGACGGTCTGAAGATCCTGGACAGCTGAGGAAAGTTCTCCAGGATGGTGAATGAACCATTCCCATCGCATTCTGGAGTTTAAGGTCCTGGTGTTCTCTGAAACAGCATGAATTTTCATTCACAAATATTAGTCAGCGCTAAAATACATTCTTGAATATCATGATCATTCAGTATATTACAACTGTCTGTAATGTAATGTAAAGTCACCTCATCCTGGACCTTCTCTGATTCACTAGAATGAGACTCTACAGCTTGATCACCAGACACTGAAATATCAGTGAGAGAGAAAAACCATCAGTATATGTGGATGTCGTATAGCAGGTTTAAATCAACTTTTCCTCATTGAAAAGATTGGTGTTATGATAATGGAAAAATGCTCACTTTTTTGTAATTTCTCATCAGTGAGAGATAATCTAATGCAATACTCACACGTGGGTGAAAGACGCTCCATGCTGTTGCATCTCACAGGTTTCACTGTGTTTGTATCTCTTGACCCTTTAGTTTGAGACTCCTTTTTGTTCTTCCTCTTCTTGTTCTTCTGATGATCGAACTGCCGTTTGTTGGGCATTATCTTCTTCCTAACTTGTCTCACAATTTCCTCTTCATCTTCCACTTCCGCATTTCTTTCTGTTTTAAACAAAAATTACATGATATGTAACATTTAGGAAACGATCATAATCTTTTCTAAAGGGATAAAATTGAGAGGTTTAAGTAACGGGCACTTGAGATACACCTGAGGTCTGCAAGTTTAATTTTCAGCACCAAGAAGGTAGATCACAAACAGATACTGGACCGTTCAGCAGTGAGCAAAGATTTGCATAACACTGGCCAAATGTTCACGCAAAGAAAGAAGGCGTAACTTTTATTCTCGCTGTAGTATTGTTGTTGTTGTTGCCGCCATGTCGTGAAGGCACTGTGTGTTTTGTAGTGAAAGCGAAACTACTTTGTATGGCCTTCCAAAAAAGGACAATATCGCTTTTAAGGA